TTTTTTGTTGCTCAGGCCCAGAATGGACTTCTGGAAGTGGCATCCACACAGATAACCGGTTGTTCATATATTTGAATCCCACCACTGCCCTTAGATATAGGTAGCAAAACAATGAAACAGCCATCTAGTACATAAATAGGTACCTTGGAATGCAAATAGAGAGAATAGTATTTCCCAACATCACCATTACAGATTGTTTCTGTCATATCCAAGTACACAGTCTATATCTTTCTAGCTCCATTTTATAGTATCTAAAGCACATTCAGGTTAGGCTGCTGAAATCTGGCAATGAAATGGCTGTGGTTTTTAGTTTTAGGAAAATAACATTGGAAATGGTTATATTTAGACTATGAGGTCAAACACAAAGCTGATCTTTTTTCAGTTCCACCTAAGCCTTGCGGGGGGGGGGGGGCAAGGGAGGCAAAATACGTACTATTTAGACAAATTCAGTGCAGATGGGGCTAGGCAAAATTGATTTGTTTCAAAAAAAGAAACCAAAACAGCAATGGAAGACTGAACTTCATTTTTATTTCATGAACAAGTTGTATAAATTTACAGGCTTTCAGGCTATATGGGTAAAGGCTTTCTTCAACTTGATCATTAAAGTCAATGTTTCGTTTATCATTTTTCCAATCAATGGTTTTCCAAATCACCTTTAACTGAAATGACTGAAGATCAGCCATTTCTTCATGTTTTCAGTAAAAATATAAAAAGCTTTCCATTATCAACATACTGCTGTGAAATATATTATATATGCCTATTTGTAGTGGAGTTGCTTCTTCAAAAATTTGTAAAGTACAGTAGCTCTGAAAATTCATTTCTGATAAATTCATTGTTGGTCCATTCACATTTTTGGTAGGTTGCAAAGATATTTAAGTAAGTGAACATATGAAAAAACTCTTTTTTCCCAGAATTATTATGATTAATAATATTTAAGGCTAATATGATGTTATCAGTATGCTATTGATTCATTTAAAATAATTAGAAAAGGTGGTAGGAAATAATTACTTTTAATTAGTCATAAATATTTATGAAGGTTATCTTAACAAACATATTTTGGGTTTTTTGCTTTTTTTTTTTTTTTTGAAATAACAGACACAATAAGAATGATTTAAAGAGCCCTAAAATGATTTACTATGAAATAAAAGGCATGACACTAAATTAATAATTATTTTAATATTTTTATTTTTTTAAAAAAAATATATAGTCTCCTTTAGTAAATATGTGAATTTCAGAGAACTGCATAGTGTCATGAGACACTATCAATAGCAAAAGTTATAAATGTATTTTAAAAAAGCCCCACACCAGTCTCATGATTCTGTGTATAAAATTATTCCTCAGGTGATAAAATATGATTGAAATCTTTTTGTTAACAGATTTATAGAACCATTTTCAAAGGATCCTATCTTAAGCTCTTTATATTAAGATAGTTCTGTTGAATTACGGAAACTTTGTTCAAAGATAAATCCCCAAAGCTACAATTAGGTGAATACTATTTTTCTTATGTACATATGTTCTACTTAGGAATAGTCCCTTAGGTCTTATTCTCCAACTACCAGAGGTTCCCAAAAGATTGAGCAAATGTACATAGAAAACTAATTATATTTATGAATAAAGAGTAGTGTTTAAGCAGGGTTCCTTTTTTTTAATGTGGTGGATGCCACTGAATTTTTATGCATCACCTTATTAATAGAAGTCCTAAGCAATTAGTAGCTTGTGGTTCTTCTCAAGAATCAAGTATTGGGAGGTTGTTTATAGAAGCACGAGTTTCTCCTACAAATGCCAGTTCTTCCAAACTGTCCTAGATTTAGTGCAGTACTTTTCTTAACCATTTCAGATTATTAACTAATTTACTAATACAGTTCCAAACTCTTGGTTAAAACTGTAAATAAAAATAAAAGTCATGATATTATGATCTTGCTTGTCCATGTACTATGTGCTGCATCTTTTACATCTTTTCCCTCATAGCAGCAATCCATAATTCAGCCTACAGCTGACCAGCTACCCTATAACTCTCACTTTGAGCCATTAAGCTACGTTATACATTCTGTGCTGAAACCTATCTCTCCATTTTCTGAAAGCTATTTTCTCCCGTTAAAGCAATGTTTCTATTTTAATATATAGATTAACTCTTGGCAACTGCTTGGATGAGTTTCTGCAGTTTTCTTGGCATGATTTTTGAAGTGGTTTGCAATTGCCTTTTTCTACAGCTGAGAGAGAGTGACTGATCCAAAGTCCCTGTTATTTAGTGCCTAAGGCAGAACTACAGTTCACAGTGTCCTAGTTTCAAGCCCCAATGCCTTTAACTACACTACATTAGCTCTTAATATGAGTTGGTATTACCTTATTCTTTTTTTTAATATAAACTATTTGGTGTATATTTACTTCTCATATATACAGTATTTTCTCCTTTTGATTTTTTTTCTGCTTTCTACTTTTCTGTTCTTTGCATAATACATTTTACACCCCAAAGGGAATAGCATAACCGAGGTTGGATAGAAGTACATTTTTTGTATGTTTTAGAATTAGCATGGTTTGGGAGATCATTTTTTAAAATTTATTGTTATGATTTCAAATTTCAAAATTGTTATTGTTATGATTATAAAAAAGATGTTGAAACTTTGGAAAAAGTTCAAAGAAGATCAAGGAGAGAAGCAACTTAGAACTAAGGAGAAACTTCCTGACAGTTAGAACAATTAACCAATGGAACAACCTGCCTCCAGAAGTGGTGAATGCTCCAACACTGGACGTTTTTAAGAAGAGACTGGACAGCCATTTGTCTGAAATGGTGTAGGGTTCCTGCCTGAGCAGGGAGTTGGACTCGATGACCTCCAAGGTCCCTTCCAACTTTATTATTATTATTAAGAGCAACTAGGATGATTAAGGGCTGGAGACAATAACAAATGAAGAACAGTTGCAGGAATTGGGTATGGCCAGTCTAGAGAAAAGAAGAACTGGGGGTGACATGATAGTAGTATTCCAGTATTTCAGGAATTCTGCCACAAAGAGGGGTTCCAAAGCACCAGAAGGCAAGACAAGAAACAATAGATGGAAACTAATCAAGGAGAGAAGCAACTTTGAATTAAGAAAAAGCTTTCTAACAGGAGGACACTTAACCAATGGAACACCTTGCCTTTAGAAGTTGTAGGTGTTTCATCACTGGAGGCTTTTAAGAAAAGACTGGACAACCACCTATTTGAAATGGTATATGGCAGTGATGGCGAACCTTTTAGAGACTGAATGCCCAAACTGCAACCCAAAACCCATTTATGTATCGTTGAGTGCCAGGTGGGTGTGGCCCATTGGGTGGGCATGGCTACAGTGGTAACGCAGACTGGATGGGACTAAAAAGTTTAATCAATCAATTCCAACTTTGCAAGGTCTTTTTTTTTCTGCGAGAAGTTGAAATTGACTGATTGAACCTCTTTCTTTTTTGCACATGGCGACGGAGGCCTAAAGCGAAAAGGTTTTATAAAACCCAACTGAAGGCCTAGGACTGGGATGACGGCGTGCGTGCCCACAGAGAGGGCTCTGAGTGCCACCTCTGGCATCCGTGGCATAGGTTCGCCACCACTGGTATATGGTGTCCTGCTTGAATAGGAAGTTGGTCTAGAAGACCTCCATGGTCCCTTCCAGCTCTATTCTGATTGATTTATTTGCAGGAATGTACTTTGGACTTTTTCATCAACCCTACATGCTTACAAATTGAAAAAAAAAGCACATTAGAAGTGCACTATGATGTCTTCCCTTGGGATTTAATTCGAAGACGAAAACTAAGCAGGTTAACCTAGATGTGGTTGAATGATATATGTGTTTCTGTGTGCTTTAAACATCTCTTGGCATCTTGTGACTGAAGTAACTAGAAAATCTCATACCCCATTCTCTCAACATGAGTAGTTTATCACATTTTATTTTCTTGTGATGGCAAATTAAAAGCTGTTTTTCAGCAAACAATGCAATAAAAGTAAAAAGTAAAAACTGTTTAATTAATATATTTTTCATATAGATTTGGATAAAGTAGACTGATTCAGTATTTGGTTTATAACAATTAAAATTGTTAAAAATCAGTATGTTTAAATCTTCTTTATTGCTTGGTCTCCACTTTTTTTCCAGGATTCGTAGTATATATATATTTATAAACATCAGGTTGCACATATAATTTATATATTGATTTGGAATTCTATTATATAAGAGTCAATGAAATTAAAATGATTTAATATAGTCATAACACATTTTGCCAATAGGCAGTAAAGACTTTAACTGAATGATAATTTGAATGTATTTTTTTTAAAATCACATGACTATAGCTAACAAATTTCTGTTCCCATCATCATACAAATCACCATATTTTTAGTCTCTCTCTCTCTCTCTCTCTCTCTCTCTCTCTCTCTCTCTCTCTCTCTCTCTCTTTGTGTGTGTGTGTGTATGTGTGTGTGTGTCTGTTAACATACTGAAATAGGTGTCTTTAACTAAGCTTCATAGAAAATTGTTAAAAATGTGGGAGAAATTTATTAATCAGAGTTAGATATTGGAAAACATGGAAAATGTCACCAAAATAAGACATTTAGCAGCCCGCTGATGATTATTACTAACAATGGACCTCTTGGGATTTTGTCCATAATGTATTCAGTTACATTGTATATCTGACAGGGGGAACATTATCAATGAGTTGCAGATTTCAGTAATAATAGCATAGATTCTAATGAATAGACAAAACTCTCCCTTTTGGCTTCACATTTTAATACAGCAACTGAATTTCATTGCTTACATTATTGTAGCAGATGAGAAACATCTGCTCATTTACCAGCAAGAAGAAGTCTAACTTATTTTCTTTCAGGCTATCCTGCTTCAAGGCTTGAATAAGAAGTCTACAATTCAGCTATTAAGGGTTGATCCAAGTCCAGGTTTATACTCAGGATCTGTTTAAATCAAATCTGCTATTCTTTGCTAGTGCATTTGTTTTCTTTCCTTAACCACATTTTTCTTTTTTCCTCTTCTAGCTCCATCACCTATTACAGCAATCAGAAAGGACCGGACTTCTAGAAACAGCGTCTCTCTGTCTTGGCATGAACCTGAACACCCGAATGGGATCATTTTGGATTATGAAGTCAAGTACTATGAAAAGGTGAGAATACACCACAAAAGCGACAGGGAAAAGTCAAATCTAGTTTAAATAAAGATAAATGTGAAAGTGAAATATAGCTTAAATGTGCTCATGGTTCCCATAGTGTGAGCAAAATACAGCATGTCATTTGCGTTCTAGTAGTGGTCATATTAAGGTATATCTGAAGTAAGCAACTTTAGTATTTTACCATAATATTTTAAATGTTGTATTTTAATATAAATTAAGATACTATCTTGATTTAAGGATACAACAAGCATCTAATTTTTCATGTATTAATGTTTTCTTTATGAAGAACATGAACTAAACGAGAGTAGGTAATGTATTTTAGATTAATCAGAATTTTGTAATTTTTGTAATTGTGCAAGGCAAAAACACATACAAAATATTCCAGTGACTTAGCTCTAGTTTTGCAGGAAAGCCAGTGACAAACAATGCTGACTTTTGCATATATCAGAAATTCCATTCCCCATTCTCACTTCCTGCTAGGAAGTAATTAACATTTGTAAAGGTCATCCTGTTGGTTTGAAATGTAGAAGTTTGAAATGAGTTCTAGGTAGAGTCACAAAATGAAAAATTTGGCAAGCATAAATTAAAATTTAAAATGTTATTGTCAAATTTAAAATGTTATTGTGCCATATAATATAGGGATATTTTCCCTACACACACGTGTGTGTGTGTGTGTTTTAAATATAAACAAAATATATGTTATACTAGATATATGTGGCTACAGTTTAATAGTGTTACATTAGCTATTTGCAACTGTAATTAGTTGCATTAACTGTCATACAAAATGCAGCAGTTATATTGCATTATGTTTCATTTACGGCCATGGTGATTTACTTGACTGCCACAAAATAAGGTCATAAAATTGGACTGGTCACATGATGGCCTGTTTTATGATCATCACAATTTATGATCGTAATGGGCAAGCTCTGTTAGAGTCATAAGTTGAGGACTACCTGTAAATCTATAAAATGCAGATATAGCTTATAACAAAAGAAAGCACTTGTAGGGCATTACTTCAACTCTAAAAAACATTTACTAGATTTTTCATAATATTATGCTACGTTGGGGTTGTATGGATCTATGCATCTATGAATTAATTGTAATATTCACTGTTTAGGCAATAATATTATATGTTAAACTAAGGAACATACATAGAGTTGCATCGTAGGCTTATAACTTTAATGGCAATTACAGAACTGAAATGTTAAAATGAATGAACGAAGCTGAATTATTCCTAGGTCCATATGTGCAGCAGTACTATCCACAATTTTTCCTCCTTTCAGTGGTAAAGTCACCATTCTAAGGTGTTGAAACTTGGCCACAGGCAACAAAATGTATAGTATCTGCATACATATTACACAGCACCTGAGTCTAGACAGATCACAAGTGAGATAATCTCTGATCTACATAATTTCTTTATGTAACAGAAATGAAATTTTAGCAGTAAATATCAAATACTGTATAATGAAAGAGGTAGCCAAGTTACACTATCAGCTTATCTTCAAATGCAGTAGCCAGAGTAATTTAATGCTAAAGCTGAGAGCCAGACTCAATTGATCAGGATCTCCTGCATATTTTGTTCCAAATTCAGATTGGAACAAAGAAGAAAATTTGATCTGAGACTGTCAACATTTCCTCCGTGCCACTCTTCTAAATGTGAACCTATTCCACTCTCTTACTGATGTTGTTGGTCCATAAGTTTCTTAACTTTTACCTTTTCATGAAAAGTCATGAGGCCAGTAATGTACTTATTTGCAAAAAGAAGTTCCATTTTTACAAAATATCAGACATGATTTCTTACAGAGCATGTAAAAAATGTTGAAAAAACAAAGAAAGTTTTTTCTCCCAAAATGTAAAATAGCAGAGATCAGATTTGAAATGGAAATATCCTGGAGGACATTTGTACATATTGTCAACCTTACAGTTGTTCTTTTGAAGGCAAAAGAGGTGCTAGGATCGAAGTCTAAATTCTTTCTCTAGGATCTAATCATACAACGTATTTGAGGAGGTAAGATAAAAAAGATTGATTGCGCTCTATTGAAAAATCTTAATACACCAAAACAATTCTCAGAAAGGGCATCTATGATTACATCAAACACAAATTCTCTTTAGCCATTCTGGTTACAGAAGATAAAATGTACAATGAATACAATTAACTTGTACTCAAAAATGCTGTTTGCACAGCTGGAATAATATGGAACGGGAACTGCTATGAAAATGAAATAAAGTCATACATTATGGCAACCAGGTTTGACTACCTGGGTTTTAATGAGGCCCATTTCTTTTTCTAAAGCAGGAACAAGAAACAAGCTACACCATTCTGAGAGCAAGAACTATGAATGTTACTATTAATGGCCTTAAGCCAGACACCACTTATGTTTTCCAAATCAGAGCCCGAACTGCTGCAGGATATGGGACCAACAGCCGCAAATTTGAGTTTGAAACCAGTCCAGACTGTAAGTATTTGCAAAAAAAAATTGATTTTAAATGTTTTCCTGCACAACTTCAAAATTATATGGCTGACTAGTTTCATATCGTCCATAGTTCAGCAAATATGATTCTGTATTTATGATCTGGCTTTCTGGATAACATGTATATAAATTTCTATATTTTGTTATTATTCTTAAAACATGTTTTGAGAAATATGTCATGGAATGCTGTACTTTCTCCTGTCATATGTTATTTATTTTTCCAGAATTCAATGAATCTTGCAGTAGGTGGAACTGATGCTAGACAGAAATATCAAATATCTGCACAGTGTCATAATCTGGTCTTGTTGAGTGAACTTGTGAAGTCTAAACTTCTGAACTCTTTCTCCCTCTCTCTTTCTAGGTATTTAAAAGCCACATGGTGGTACATTTGTTACAGTTTATTGTGGGGCTAGTGGTATATATTTAAAAAGATTTTTAAAGATTTTTTTTCAGTCTACTGGAAGTAGATTCCTTTACCCTTTTCCTTCACAAAAACTGTTCAATATTCTTTTCTCAAAATGAAATCTCATTCAGGAGCGAACCTTTGCAATTAATTGCAGTTAGTTAGTGAATTCATCCATCAGGTGGTTTTCAATTCTAGATTTTCATGTGGCACTTGTATATCTAACAAACTCTTATTTATATTTTTCTTCTTTAATAATTTTATAGGCTCTATCAAATAATAGTTTCCAGTCATAAATGAAAACATCATGGTAAAACTTTATGGTTAACACATTCTCCCTTTCCCTTCTATTTATTTCCCCAACCATTAACCACAACATATATATTTATACTTTCCATTAAAAATTATTTTGAGTATTTATATAAATGTATTCATCTATTATAACTTTCTTCTTAAAAAATCATATTCCAAATGTCTAAATTTGGCCTGCTTTGTAGTGCAATATATATGGGAGATGTTCTTGATTATATTTGGTTGGATCTATATTATGGAATTAATTTTATTAATTTATTAATAAAATAAATTATTAATTTATTAATTTTGCCATTGCTGCAATTTTCATATTCCATTCTGATAGTGTCAGCAAGGTTCCTCTTTTCCAAGGTGCCAATTTTTTTCTTGCATCTGAGAGCATCTAAATAAAGCGTCATGTTTTTCATTTATGAGAACATGTTTTCTGGAAATGTACAGAGAATCCATCTTGAGTTTCATGACATTTTTTGAAGAGTGTTTATTCCCTTTATGTTGAAAACTCGAATCTGTTTTGGTTTCTTTTGTTTACAATGTGGTATCTAGAACTGGACACAGTACTCAAGAAGCAATCTGACCAAAGAAAGCATCTAATCAGAATAAAAAAATGTATTATATTCTTCTGCTAATGCAGTTTTATGTTTTTACATTTGAAACATTTATATTATGAAGATCTATATTTTTTTTAAAAAAATCTGCATTTTACTTTATAGTAGTTAGAGTAGCTGTTTTAGTGAACAAATTATTTTTTCAGTAAACTTAAACTATGGAATAAATAGCATAGTATCCATAGATATTATTTTTTTATTTAGTTTATGGCAGAACAAGGAAAAGAAATATGTTCATATATTTTGTCATAAATAAATATGTGTGAATGACTGAAAATAATAGATTAAGATAACAGCTTTGTATTACATATAGCAGATTTTTCTTTATTCTAAGAGTTGAGAACAGATTGCAATAATTTACTTTTCCATAGTAAATTGAATTTGGATAATTTAATTTTTAAAAAATTATAATACCTTGTGCTTGAAGCTGGACTGAATCATGTGAATATGATCCAGTCAAGATTAACATTCTTAAATACCTTTGATATTAGAGATTATTTCAGCATGACTATTCAAAAGATGACCAGCATAAATCCAGATGGATTGATTGATTGATTGATTGTAGAAACTGAGTTAACACCAAGATTCTTTGAGCCTCAGGGATGAACCACATATTTTATTAAGGAAAAAATATTCCTGGAAATTTTTATTCTGTTTATATTATACCCAATTTGACCTTTTTCTTTTTAAAAAAGTGCATTTATAAAATTTATTAATTTTAGCCTTAGTTAAAAAATATAATTATTTTCATGCCTAAAGTATTCTTTTCATAAAAAGATGTCTTATTTCAATTATGAAACACCACTTCTAAGAAAATATCTTCTCAGCTATTACTATAAAGTCATTCTGCTCTTCAAACCTGCTTCTTTTGTTAAAGGAAAAAATGTTTCCATTTTTTTTTTAATCTGACCATTTTTAAGCTTACTAAAGCAATAGCACCTTCTTGCGTACATCATGCCTACATGAATAAAGTCACATAGTTTGTTTTTGTAACACTGGTGTCTTGGAAGGAAGTAATTATTTTCTGTGGTGGAAATGGATAATCTTGAAAGTAAAACTATGCTTTCAGGTTACTAAATTTGCATTCCCTAGTCATTCTTCCCTTACTTTCAAGGAGAAAGGGGAAGTGGGCTGGATGGAAAAAGAGGGATTTGAATTCTGGCACATTGAATTAAATTTAAAAATGACTTTTTCTGGTTCCTGTGTCCTAAAAGTGTCCAACTGTCAGATTCTTACCTTAAATTTCAGCATATCAAGATTCCTGAGCCAGTAAACTCTGTTGTACAAATGAACCTTGCATTTCTCAGCAGAATAACAAATATATGGCATTGTTTTCTCTCTTTCTTTCTCTCTTTTCTTGGCAATTATATAATTTATTTTTATCTCTATACAAGTTTTTCTAAAAGATAAATAGGATTGCAGCTGAGAAAAGGGTTAGAACTCTTCTGTAAGCCAAAAACAAAATGATGCTGCAATAACATTTTTATCTTCCTCCATTTACCAGCAGTGTTACATTTACTGCTTTTTGTTTCACTCTTTCTCATTTTTATTTTCTTTTTCACTTTTAGCTTTCTCCATCTCCAGTGAGAATAGCCAAGTTGTAATGATTGCTGTTTCAGCTGCGGTAGCAATTATTCTGCTCACAATTGTGGTTTACATTTTGATTGGGAGGTCAGTTCCTCATTCCTTTTACACATTGAATTTCATTTCTTAAAGCCTGCAGTAGAATGATAAGCACTGTCACCAAGATACTGTCAAGGATACTCAGGGATTTAATTTGGTATGCGTTTCAAGGCAAATTGATCTGATTCGTATTTCCTGGGCTAGTGTGCAAGTTTGGTTGTGGTTATCCTTTTGGTTTCATATTTCTTTGAATTTTGCTATGCAGTTCTCAGTTCAAAATTGATACCCAAAGCCTGTAAAAACATATTTTAAGATGTTACAAATGTATACACATATAATAAAAAAATATACTTTAGTGCATTCAAAATGGACATTTACAGTATATGTTTTAAATTAATTACAGAAAAATATAAAGCAATTTTATGAATATACATAACAAAAAGTTGACACAATTGGAAATACAATGATCTAGTCTTATAGGACAAAAAGTTATAGCAGAGAAATACATAACATGGCCTGTTAACTATAGCAGCCCTAGTCCTATTAAGCTAGTTAAAAACAGCTATTTATAGACAATTGTGCAGAAAACTAGAGAAATGAAAACCAACATGTTACCCCTTATATTCCTGAAAATTTACCTCAGGTTTGTAGTGTTCATAGATTATAAATGTTAAGAAAATGTTTCTTATACATTTAGAGAAAATATTTCCTCCTGAAGTTGTTCATGTGTACATTTATGTTGTATATAAATTTACATACATAGCTGTCTATAAAATGTTGCATTACTGATATCCTTATCTCTTACTACTTTTAGATTCTGCGGACATAAGTCAAAACATGGCTCTGATGAGAAGAGGCTGTATTTTGGTAATGGGCATTGTAAGTTATAAAAAGTTGTGTCAGTTACTGACAACCAAATTCATATATACTCTAAATTTACATCTTAGTAATAGTGTATTGTAAAGTTTGTTAGTACTCTTTCTTCAGACATATACTCATTAAGGAACCAATTTTCTTTATATTCAAAATTGTCCCATTCTGCAATAGCATCAGATTTCAGATGCCCCTTGTAGCATATTTTAGATAAAATTATAGAAGATGGTAACTCTGCAATACTGAACATAATAAATTTTTTGGTTTTAATACATTCACTTTGCTACAGTATAGGTTAAATATAGGGAGCAGTTCATCCCAGCACAACAGTAGTTTACTGCATACTTTGGGGACATGAATGATAAGTGGTATCCCAAGGGGAAATTTTTTTGGCTATTTTGATAAGTGAACCACTTATCAAAATAGCCATTTTTTAATTTTTTCTTGGGATACAATCGGTATAATATATCCTTTCTTTTTTTTAATTCAGAACTACTTTTTAGTGGAAGCAAAAGAGTTTTGTTGAGACAGAACCAACCTTTGGTTTAGTCATAGTTATAATATCATGAGTTTTAGAATCAAGAAAAATATATAGCTTGCAGAAAAATACAGTATTCATTCTACATTGCTCTCTGCTAACTTCTTAAACTATGATTTCTAACATTATTGAAAATTGAACAGATTTGTTCATTTGGCACAATGCAATGTAAATCCATACTTCCTATAATAAATTATAATAAAGGACTGGTTCTTATATATATGAAAGTTAATCTTGTAAAACAACAAACAGTATACTCCAGCTTGTGAGCATATGATTACATTTTGAAAGTTTGTTAATTGTATGTCTTTAGATCAGGCATGTCAAACTGCCGGCCCGCGGGCTGGATGCGTCATGCCAAAAACGCGCCCACCCCATTGCCAGCAATGGGGAAAAAGTCACAATACATCACGAGTTTGACATGCCTGCTTTAGATAAACCCATACTTATTACTGCATGAAAAATCCCCTTTTTGAACAGCTGATAGTAATTGATACAAACAGATCCACTGCAATAGAAGTGATAGGGGTGTGGGTGAGAGAGTATTTCTAGCTATGATATGAAGTTTCTTCTGCACACCTTTTGTGTTGAATTAGGACTAAAGTCATTGAAACCAAAAGTAATACTTGTAAAGAAATATGATTGGCATTTCCTTGTAAGAGCAAATGGTTGTGAAGAATGGATTCTGCTGCTATATAATTCTATTTTTTTTAACTTAAGGAACTTCTCATTAATGCAACATATCTTCCCTATGTTATATATTTTACTTGATACTCATTTATTCCTAATCAAGTCACAAAAAGGAAGTAGAAGTGCTTAAAGTAAGATTGTCTGCAAGCAAAATTCTTTTTGTGTATATTAGTTTATTTGGCATTCTAATAATTAAATGTTGCACCTAATACAATTGTTAAAGTGATTGAAACTTCAAATTGTTTATATTTGGAGTCTTTACAGTATGCTTTTTTAATGCAGATATGCAAGCTATGATATGCAAATACTTAAGACAGCACAAAAATGAATAGCAAACTGAGCTTAAGCTACCCACTTAATAAAATGTGCCTTACATCACAACATCTTAATTACTCATATTCAGTTAGATTTCAAAGCTGATACTACAGTTTAAAAGCTTTCATAACAAAATATATACTGTAACATTATAAAAAATCCCTCTTTTTTGCTAAAAAACAAATTATTTTGATAACAGTCTTTATTTTTTTGCTATATTTCTCAAGTATTGATTCTCTGTGTGTGTGCGTGCATGCGTGCATGTGCACGTGCATGTACATGGAACAATTTATGGTTTACTAACAAAGTTTGTTTCTTGCCAGGATGGAAAATCTTTTTCTAAAAAGATAAATTCTGGTGGTTTAATAATGTCTGGAAGCCAAACTGGAAAATATGTTCCATTAAAGTTACATGAATCATCATGGCTAGCTTTGGATTAAGTGGTGATAGAAATGCACTCAGAAAAATAGTCATAGGTGGTCGTCTTTCATTCTACTAAAATAAATTCCAGGGAAAACATCTAACATTTGAAAGAAGCTTCTGAATCAAGCATTGAGGAGTTCTGGTTTTATTTAAAACGTTTTCAAATCTTCTGCTTCCTTTTCATGACTTCATAACATTAAACATTTTGCTGTTAAAGATTTAACACTCCAAACAGTTTAACTGTGACATATTTTACTAGCATGCATATCTTCAAAGTTTTATAAAATCTTTTTTTTTCCTGCTGGGACTTTCAAACATAATTTGTTCTTCCCAAGTTTTCATGAGGAGACTGTAAACTCAACAGTACGGGACATTTTTTGGAGTTTCTTGGCACATGAAGTGCATGTAAATACAGCAAACAATATTCTTCTGGATTAATTGCAACAGTATAAAATAAAATCTGTGTCTGGAATAAATTTTTTCCACATTTCCCCATAAATTGCTGGCTTACTCCAGTCTGATTCTGAATTGCTAGGGGGGAAAATGCCTCAGCCATTAACAGTTCCCGGTAGTTTTATTTCCTCTTTCACAATATCACTTCAAATATAATTTTCATCCTTAAATTCATCTGTTTGCCCTTCATAGGCCAAGCCTTTTTAACTTTTTCATTTCTCATGGGGCAATTCATCTGGTAAAATAGAACTGATTTTGCTCTCATAAAAGTAGTGATAAAGTTCCGCAACTCAATACATGTGCATTGTTTATTTTTTGTTGCAACACAGTCATTTAAGAACATAACACTTCTGAGCTCTTAAAAAAAAAATTTCAAAAGTTTTGCAGTTGTAGAAGGTTACTTTGTTTCTAGGGGCAGGAAGGATATTTAACAGAACCAGCATGGATGGCAGGGAACTGTTTTGAGACTTAAACCCTCTGGCAGGTTGTGAATGTGGGTTTTAATTGTTGCTGTTTTTCAGAAAGTTTTGCTGTAATGTTTCCTTTAACAGAGTTCAGTCTTATAGAAAACAATGCATGCCATTTTAGGCAAAGCACTGTCTCTCTGTTCTGAATGGTTTCCTTAAATTGTATTGGGGGCAATTAGCATTAGAACATAGGAAGTAAGTATTTGTAATGTGCTTAAAGTCTTACGGCAGCTGGTTTGGTACATTAGAAAAGAGCAGATAAAGAGTTCTGATGTGAATCAGATTGAAGAAATATTCAGTTCCTCAATCTGCTTGCCACACTCAGGTGCTTCCCTAAAGAGCTTCCATAATGTTCTCTTCTCTATCAAGCATAATTAGATTGCTAAGATTCCATCTAACACCTCTATAAAGTAATTTGGGTTATTAACCACATCTTGCGATGGTTATCATTGTAGCTTTATGCAGGATATATCACATGTCCAGTCACTTAGCTCAATATGGCTAGCTAAAATTGTGTAAAGCAGTTTGCAGTTGCCCATATACACAGACTTCTATATAGAATGATCATCAAAATTGTCAGAAAGATTTAGTGTAATAGTCTTAGAAGACTTGATATGTCTTGGGAGCCTAATAATATTTGAACAGACATTTTGCCTGCCTTGAATGTGTTGCCAATCCACTTCATTATCTGATACTGAATTCTAATATTGCCAGAAAAGGAATTGCCACCTCTCTGTTTAGTTCCTCTAGTTTGTCTCTTATTAAACTAGACAGTAGATGGGATGCAGAAGGCTTTTGTAATTCTTTATATTTAGACATTAAGTAAAATGGTGGAGAATGATTTACAGCAGTAGAAGAGGGTGAGAAGATTTTACAATGATTGTTATTCCACTCAGATCTGAATACATATAAAAAGCAGCTATCTAATTTTCAATGAATAGGTTTTCCAAAGTTCCAAAGCATTGCCACAGAGATAGCAACCAACCTTTGAAGTCAGTTAATATCAGGCCTAGCACAAGAATGATAACAAGCAACCCAGCCAAAGTTCAGTTCTTGTTTACATTGAGTAGACAGAATCTTGCCAGACTAAACCTTTACTATTCCAAGGGATATATCTTGGAAGACTCTAGGGCAGGCATGTCACGTCATGCGACTTCACATGACGTCGTGTGATGTATCACAACTTTTTCCCCACTGCTGGCAATCGGGTGGGTGCAGTCTTGTTGTGAGTGTCTGGCCCGTGGGCCGGCAGTTTGACATGCCTGCTGTAGGGAATGTCTATCCTAATTCTGTTCCTGTGTCTCCAGCTCTGGGCTGTGTTGTCTCTTGCCTGGCCCCTTCTTGAAATGCACTCTGTCTTTCCTGTCACTTCACTGTAGCCCATCACACTACTTCCCTTCATAGACACAATCCATCACAATTGCTAAATTCTTTATGAAACCATAAAGAAAACATCTCAGTAACTATAATATTTCTGGGCAGGACATATGAGCAAGCAGTCAGCAAAGAAGGCCTAAATAAGGCTAATCTAGTTACAGGGCTTTTGAAGGCTCAAGAAGAGAGTTCCCCGATCTTTCTGGCTTAGTGGACTGGTGGGGAGAGAGGGGATGGTTCTGCACAAGCTGCTGACAAGTGGGCATGCACGCAGCTCCATTTGCACCCACCACTCACACAAATGCATGTGCTCACCCACTGTTTCTGCAAGTGGGGAAGCATGTGTGTGCACATGCTCACCTGCCATTTTCACGGCCTGGTTGCAAACAGCTCATAGCCCACTACTAGTCCACAGCCCAGAGGTTGGGGACCTCTGTTTTAGAAAACCCCTGGGAGCTGACGATCGTATGTTGTGGGGTTTTATGTTTTAATTCTTGAATGCCACCCAGAATTACCTGTGTGAGATGAGATGAGATGAAATCATATAAATTAATTGATTAAACAGATAATATTTATTTTTAACTCAGGGAATGTCTTTCTTCCTTAATGGGGTAGCTAACATTAATAAACAAAGGAAAATATTTTCATAAATCTAGTAAGAAATACTGCTGATATTATGATATCATCTAGCCCAAAGTGATGCCTAAAGCTGTAAAAGGAGGAAACATTATTGACTATTTTTACAGTCTTCTGGAATATAAAGAAAATGATTAAATTATGGTCCCTTATAATTGTTACTGTTGAAATAAATTATTACTTGTCCAAAAAAGTTGTGTTCTATAAAATGTACAATTTTTCAGAAGAATTTCTTTCAAGCATTTTGTGCATGTTTTCTTATGGAATCATTAACTTTTTGTGTTTGTAATTATTTATCCATATATTTTTGAATTTTTTTTACACAGTGAAGCTTCCAGGCCTCAGAACATATGTGGATCCACATACATACGAAGATCCTAATCTGGCTGTTCATGAATTTGCCAGAGAACTGGAGGCTTCCAGCATAGCTATTGATAAAGTCGTTGGGGCAGGTAAAAATATTAATAATGAGAATCACTATGCCATATCATTCTAATTGCTATTGCAAACTTTTCAGATGTAGTCATTTTATTCAATAAAATTTCTTGTGTAACCAATCATTAAAGAATGTTGGTCTTTCATTCTTTGTTTAGCAACATCATCCAGACTGACAGAGCTAATGTCTTTTTCAGTCTAGGTAACATACCATTCAGCTTTGCATTATAGCTCTGGCTAAGTTGAAACATAATATTTGTGAATGAATTTCGATTATTGTGTTAGTACACAAAAAGCAAAAACAGTAATGTTGGCCCTTAAGGGAAAAACATCTCCAAATTCCACAACTGGTCAAGCTTTGTTAGGACTACAATATTACAAACTTTATAACTTTAAAAAAAATGGCTCAGAAATATATTTAATATAACCCGATTAATAGGGTCACCATGAATGTGCTAGGTAATTCGTGTATTTAAATGATCCTTTTGGGTCATTTAGGTCACCTCCTGCCAGTTTGTCCAGCTGGAGCATTCTTAGCACTTTTGTCAAGGACTTCTTCCTTTAGCCCAGCTGTATAGAGACAAAGGCAGAATTACAGAATTCAGCAAACTGTATCCCAATTCTGAAGGGTGTAGCTGTGCAACTCTGCAATTTTCCAAAAAAAAAAAAGAAGGGGGAGGGACAGATTTTAATGAAAAGTCACTTTTCAACCAACAAGGACTGATCTCTGAAAGGGGGGAAAAAGTTGACTAGGAAAAAAGGGAAAATATAAAGAACAAAGCAATGCAAAAAGAACTCATACATAATTCTGCATAAAATCTGTCTAACTAAACTGTTTAAGTTCATGGCAGAGATAATGGTTTAAGGGAAAGCATTTTGATGTGGATGTTGTGAAGCAGGCCTGTCTCTTTCTCTTCTCTAAGTTCTTTAAAAAGCAACATTCTCACAGTTCAGAATGAGAGATTCATGAAGGCTTCCTTGAATGAATTTTACTTCCTTACTTATTGAGTTATCTAGCCTAACACTGATAGATTATCCTGTTCTCACTAATGAAGGTTTCAGCACAAAAGATTTCAGCTCGTGTAAGGCATTTGTCTTACTGGAGCAGGAAAAAGAATGTCAGGGAGAACTCTGCTGTACAAGGATTTGATATAGAGCATACTTAACTGAGAAGAAAAAACAATTACATCTACTATTACGCCATGTTCAAATTCTCACCAAAATGGAAGCAGGAAGTGCCTAAATTGATAGAAACATCCCAGATCTTCTGAATAGGTTGAAATAATGTAATATAGCACATGATTTATCTGTATGCATATACAATCTTCTATTCCCATACAGTTCTGATTGAAACCAGACAAATTGCTCTTACGTATATATGCTTGTAAAATGAACTAAAATTTAAAAATTTTAAATAAAGTCATCTAGTGTTCCTGTTTGGAGAGCAGGATCATATATCCTTATAATAATCTTTCCCTAAAACACAGGACTGAGAAAGTCAGACCTTTTTAAATTTTTTATAGATCGTAATAGCTCATTGGCTCTATGACAGATATCTGAAACTAAGAGGCTATGTTGAATAATATATTCATCTGATTACAGATCATCAGTCACTTTCCATTTGCTTGCTTCCTTTCCTATCTTCAGAATGCCCATGGTTTAATAGAGTGTAAATGCATAAAGTCTCAGCAGGTGGCAGCATCTGGCTGACCTTTTTTGATGCTCAGCAGATAAGCAGCGTTAGACCTGGTTCATATGAGTTAAACGATCTCTGGAGAATATCAGGCTGCAAATAATTTATAAAGAAGTCAGTGGCAAACATTTCTGCACTGTAACCAGCTGTCTGGTTATGTCATGTAATCACTAAAATTCAGAAATAACTGGGCAGCATGTTTGCCTTTTTATATCCATGCTGTAATATGTGAGTTCACATGCTAAATTTCCATATTTTATTTTGCATATTAATCACATAATTTAAGATAAAACCTTAAATACGTGTGCCCTATTCTAATGAAGTACTTAAAACCAGATAGCACTGTTGATAGAACAGTACTGAACTGAAGCTGCCTCACATGGGCCCTGTTAACAACATTCAACTCCTAATAATGCTTGTGATCATGAAGTATTTGTTTATTTATGTTTAGTGTGGTATAGATTAAATTCCATCACAAGAAATGAAATGACTGCAAGATTTAAAATCAAGACATTTTTAATAACAAAAGTAAACAGTGAATTACAAGTGAACCCAACATAGTTACTAAAATATTGCAGCCTGTAACTAAATATGCTAATGAAATTATTTACCAAGTATTTACCAAAACCAAACACTGAGTCTTGTTTTAAACATAAACAAAACAAAAATATGGAGAAGTACATGTTTATGGTATTTTTGTAACCAGAATCTATGATTTATAGCCAAGAGTCTTTTCAGTAAATAGCATCAAATTACAAATTTAATGTGATAGGTATAAGACCATTATTTAGGTAGAATTAAAACATTGGTACTTTTAATAATTTATTATTTTTTTAATAAATACAAATTATATTTAATTATTTTACTTATCCATTTTTCTGCCATGACCCTATCCAACTGTGGAAACATCCTTATATAGAGTTCAGCATTTATGTAAATGATCTAATAATTTATGTCAGATTTGTTATAAAACCAAACAACCATGTTTGGAATTGCTTGATATATTCTGGAAAATATGAGAAAGGATTAGAAGAAGGGACATACACATCCTCCTCCAAAGGCAACAGATATTTGGTTAGAATATGGTGAATTTAGTCCTAGGCTACTAAAATTAAAAAAGAGAGGTGCGAAATATCTTTATTTGGGGACGATATCATTCTCCATATTCAGACAAATTCCCAACCGAAATGATAATAGAACTTAAATGCCTCTAAGATTTCAGCAAGCTTTAAGCAGGTAAAAGGCTCTGAAAAAAAAGACTGGGCTTTATTAAAGATCAAGAATAATAGCTTGCACATTTACTCATTAATATAATTTACTACACACCAGTATGAGGAGAACATCATAAAGGAAAAGAAAACCCACTTGTTAAACATCAAGCTTCAAAATGACTGTGATTTTTATTGTGCTATTTTGTATCATTAATAGCTAAATTTTTGCAAACGTCAGTATAAATAAAGGTGCTCTGACTATAACACAGTGATAGGTATATAGTGATAACAGTTTAGGTGTTACAGGTGTTAAAATCTTAACATAAATACCTAGGAGAGTCTTTAAACTATAACATCAAGCTTGCACATAATTTGTTCCAAGTACTTTATTCTTTTGTGGTTGTTTTTTGTTTTTTTTTCTTTAAACCTGTATAATATTGAGTTTCAATTTTCAATTTTCAGTTAGTTCTTCTAAATTAATGGCATTTACTTAATGTTCATATTTGAATATTGTCCTTAGTAGAGTATACTGGAGATATGATTTCATGTAGGGTCAGATAGTGGTAAATTTTGTAGCTGTTGTTTCTTTTATTGTCCCTTGGATGCATTATATTCTCTCTTATATCTTCAGTTAAAAAACAAGTCTTTCCATGATAGTTCAAATAAAATTATATATTTTTTAACTTACCGTCATGCACAAACATTTTTTCATGCATACGTCACAAAGTTTCTATTTTGTCAGTTTTCTTAACAATTACATTATGTTCTGAACATCCCGGTTCACTGACAGAACAGTTTCATAAAACTTTGTATGTTTAAGTCTTGCTTAAAATAGATATCTGAAACATCTGTTTTTATTCTGCTGCACTGTTGCAACTAACCTCTGAGGTAGAGATTTGACATTACATTAGGTCCATAAAACACATATTTCAAGAAACAGAAATGTTTCAGCCGGATTTCAGAATGGACATCTGGAGTATGTGCAATATTCCAGAAAGTAAAAAGCCACAAAGTATACAATGTAGACTCAAAATGTAGGTTTCTGCGCCACTTAATCTGTCATGATCTCTAGCTGGAAATTCAAATATTTTCTGTTTGCATTACTGACAGGTGAGTTTGGAGAAGTATGTAGTGGCCGCCTAAGGCTTCCTTCCAAAAAGGAAATATCAGTTGCAATAAAAACCCTGAAGGTTGGTTACACAGAAAAACAGAGAAGAGATTTTCTTGGAGAAGCAAGCATCATGGGACAATTTGACCATCCAAACATAATCCGGTTAGAAGGTGTGGTCACCAAAAGTAAGTTAACTGAAAATATTTGAAAGATCTGCTTGAAAGAAAAGTTGCTGAGGTGTGTTTTCATTGGGTATCTGAATTTAAAGGAAAACATCCCCCTTTCTTTTATTTTGATGGCTGCTAGTATGCATGGAACGGGCAATTTGACTGCAGTTACTACCCAGTGCACAATTTTAAACTCATTTGCAACCAGTGTTATTTCATTTAAAATATTGGAACTACTCAGACAATTTGCAGGTCACCAACATTCCCAAATTATGTAGCTATGTTTTGTTTTTTAGATTTTTATCCCATTTGTACTACTTTGTAAGTAACTCAAGGCAGTAAACATACATAACACTCCTCTTGTTTTTGCCTCACAACAATTCTGTGAGATGGTTTGGGTTGAGAGAAAATGACTGGGCCAAAGTCACCTAGCCTGATTTTAAGCCTAAGGTTGGACTAGAATTCTCTTGGTCTCTAGTCTGGTGCATTAACCACTAGAACTCAAACCCATTAGCTTTTGCTAGCCATAGAATACATGTTCGTCTTCTGCTTTTTTTAAAAAAATATTTACATTAGAATGTCCTGTATCCATTTCCAAATTAGCTGCCCCTCTTTTATTTTTGATTTTTGTAGCATTTAAGCTATAATGAAATCTGCAAATAAGTTTTTAAAAAAATGCCATTATTGTCTGTGGAAACTTTTTAAAACTGTGGCATATATGTGAGGTTTTAATTTTAATCTGGGCAGAGTCTCAACACTCAGAATTTTACATACGTTTTAAAACAGAAGGATAATACATGCTTTGCCTTTACCGTGTCATGTAATTTAGCTAAAATGCTTGCAATTAGTTGTGGGCAACATAGACGATAATGCAATGCAGCATATGGTTTGAGCTATAAATATGTTGGCATTGTTCATAGAATACTTATATTTAACAGCAGTTCTTGAATACTACAATATCTGCTAGTATTACAAAATGGAAATATTGTAATGTCCAAAGAAGTATAGTACCTTTTTCAATGCTGTAACTTAAATTTATAGAGAAATACAGTTTAGAAAATGAAGAATCCTGCTATGAATCCATTGTAGATTTCGAAAATTATACTGTGCATTGTACACCCTCCTGTGGTAATAAAGATGATAATGTTTTACAGTTGTCATTCAGTATTAGAAAGTACTGGATTCTGCTTTGACATTGATTGCTCTTAAACAGCTGCAGGCATTCTGGCTAGACTTGAAAAATCATACTGCATATTACCTCACGGTGTCAGCATCTGGCAAATATTTGAAAAACTATATTCAGGAAGCAAAAAAAATATCACATGGCAATAATTGAACTTTGTAATACTTTAATTTCGTACTCAGTATTTATTTGAACAGCAGTAATAGCTGAAAACATAAATATAGCAAATATGAACATCCAACTGATCACTTGTTGATTAGTATATTGATAAAATTACGTTCCTTATTGGTAATATTGCCACAAAAATAATAATATTTTGGGGAAAGAAACTGAATATTTAAAATATTAAAAAGTTTTATTAAATAGCTAGAATTATATTAATTATCTGCTCAGATGGTATTCACTAGAAACCCAAAGAATTATTTTTAAATCTGGAACTCATCACTTTTTTGAAAATTCTCTATCAATATACAAGAAGAAAATATATCTTGTTAATGGAACTATTTGTTCCCTTATGAGCCATTGAGACCCATTCTATTTATTCCATTTCTCCTATCTCTGTGCTTATATCCACCTTAGCTTCAGGTCTCTGTTCTTTCCACCCACAACTAATATTCATATTATAAAGTTTATTTTGAGGCTTTAGCATCATTACTATTTATCTCTTTTTTGTAGTAATATAAAGCTTCTCCTGTTTATAGGTTCAGTAGTTCTTTTCTAAATAACTTCTTTCTTCAAATGCATTATAGCAGGAGTCCCCAATTCCAGGGCTGTAGCCTACTACTGGGCTGTAGCCCATTTGGAAATGGGCCGCGCAAGTGACTGGTTGGAGTGCGTGTGCATGCAGCTCAACTTGTGCAAGGGGAAAGCCGGTGGGTACTTGTGAGTGTGTGTGCCGGCCTGACTCTTATGCAGATCGAACTGCGCTTTGGCCTGTCACTTGCACAAGAGCTGTGGGCTCATGAGCACCATCATCCACCACTTACGTGGCCCAGTTCTCCTCTCTCCCCCCAGCCGGGCAGCCAAGCTGCAAAAGTTGGGGATCCTGCATTATAGTATTCGTACGTAATGTATACACAATCCTTCAGTGATGGGAGAAGTGACACATTTTGCAGAGGTTCTTTGCTTGTGCATAGAACTTTTAGCTATATGTAGAAACAGGAACATGACCTCACGTCTCCGGCCATAAAACTTCAGCATATTTGTTTCCATCCTGTTTTGGGTGTAGAAGTCTCCTCACTCCCCATACAACATTTTAGTGAAAGGCCAAATGCAGGACTCACTCAAAAACAAAGTCCTCTAGATGTACCTTACAGTACAACCAATCAGTGAGCAATGGTGACTATCCTGTTCCTCCAGAAACATGTTAAATTAAGTAGTTCTTTTCTGTCGAATTTTTACCTTGCTGCTTTGTCTCACCAATATATTTCCCAAGTTCTTATTTCTTAAGTCTATTGCAATATTTTTTCTCTTCCTTAAGAGGTCATTCTTATGGTCTCTCCCTGGTTTAGCTTTCTTAACTCCTCACACTTTTTCTCAGATAAATGTCTAAACCATAGTCCCTTGCCTATTCACAAAACTTGTGAGGTTTTTTTTTGAAAGGGAGGGAATAAACTATTAGTGATGAATCTATTGTGTTAGCACTTATAGTGACACAAGCATGCCATCACTGCAGATCAGCCTAATACAATATTAGGTATTGATACATTATAATGAACAATCTTCCAGTGCTTTTGACTTATATTTTAAGAGTAATCATGTAATCCTTAAAGTTTGGCTGGAATTAGTTCAAAGAAATAGAGGAAATGTATATATTATTCATGGGTGTTCTTTTTGAAATGAATATGCCAGCCATACCTTCCTATATGGTATCTATGATTAATTGGCATTGGGATTTTCTGTGGCAAACCAAATTTTGATGAATAGCCTTTACAAATAAGCTATTCATGCTGATTGCACATTATGGGATAATTCTTAACAACTTTCATGGCTGTCATCTGTAGGAAACCCTTAGTTCAAACATTGGCACATACACCATTCAGCAGCTGTGTGGCTTACTGCTCACTAGAGATATGATAAGGTGCACAGGCTAAAGAAGAGTTCAGTCTATTTTTACAGCACTGAATTATTCCCCTGTTTCATATTTGTTTCTATGCTAGTCTCGAATGCTAGTCTCCAAGGTGTTTTATAGACAGCACTCCTAATAGCCAACACACATGTTCTGCTTAGTTTAGTAATAATTTACAGCAGGTTTTAGCATTGTAGTATAATAAAATTTAGAAACACTGTTGAAACAAGTTGTTATCGTATAAATGGTTACATTTTGATAAATGAACATGGTATGTTTCTCTAAAAATAAGTTGGGTTTCCTTAGAACATGTGTTTCTTATTGCTTATTCATTTCCAGCTTAAATATGTGAATACCTGCTCAGACAGGATAAATATAAAGAAGGAAATGTGCATTTAATAATTTTAAATGTTTTTCATTACTTTATTAATTTATATTTTTGATATTCTTATTGCATTGTGGCAATGTATTTTTACATGATTTTAACAAAAAGGTACTATACTAAAAAAACAGTTGTATTTTAATAAGTTGTTTAAATAATTATGAGTATTTTAATTTTTCAATTATGTTAAGATATGTGAGAGTTGTTATGTATTCTTTCTCCAAAAATATTCTTAATTTTGTCCAAAGAAAATTGAGATGGAATACAGCAAAATATGGTTGAAATGATTTTAAAACATGCACAGTTTCTCAATTATGCTAAACTCTTTCCTGGCTGAGGTATAAAGACTATGTTTCCATGATAAAATTAAAATAAATTAATTAAATTAATTAAAAAATTAAAATGAATTAAAATTAAATTAGTGATTTAATTTTATCAGTGCAAAGGCCTAGAGTCATTTAAAAATTGTTTCCACTGAAAAAGCAGCATACTGCAAAAGCAATTCATAATTCTGGCATCTGTTTTCAAATGAAATGTAATGATTAATAAATTAAATCAATACTATACCACACTAAGGTGTTTTCATTGACAATGAATTGAAAGTGGTGAATAAGAGAAACTATCCCAAATGGGCTAAAGCAGTTGCTAAGTAGATTCCTAGTATGTATGTTGGGAAGGAGGAAGTTGGTTCCCAGGCCATAACTTATGTCAGACTTGACTAGAAACATTTGAGTTATGGGCTGTTGTAAAGATTCATTGGAGCATAAGCATGGCAGTGTTTCTTCACAAAAGGCCACATGAAAGAACTGTGTTCAGTTGTCATTAGGCAGTGAAAAGACTGTTAGAATAGAAAATGTGAAATGCTTTTCCTAAACTACTTAGCACTTGGGATAATTAAACAATTATCCCAAGCACATTTCCCATTGGCTAATTAGTCAAAGTGGAACATGATGGCACTCTGCTATGATAATCTTTTGTCCTTACCTAAGGACATATCCGGAACCTTCTTTTGCCAACAATAGCAAGTTATCCTATATATTAGTGGCTAAGGCACTAGAAGCTAAAGAATAGATAGATACTTTTTTCCCCCTGAATTGGAGCTTTGAGAATCAAATAAACAAATGGAAATTTAGGAAGAAATATTTGATATAAGGCATCAGATTATAGTCTCTTTTAAAAAGTTCTGTTCTTTTAATAATTTGTAAATTTGTTTCTGTCCATTTGGCATCAAATGCAGACTTGATAATCCAAATGTATCTTTGTATGCAATTCCATAGTACATAATTCTCTTAGTGAATAGTTTAGAGCAAGGGTCCCCAATGCCCTTGCTTAGGAACGAGGCTGCACAACTGGAGATGAACAGAACGCAAGTGAAGCCAAAACCATGCACCCTTCCCCCCCCGTCCATGGAAAAATTGTCTTCCACAAAACTGGTCCCTGGTGCCAAAAAAGTTGGATACCAATGGGTTAGAGCTAATATTTGCATTATTTTGTGCATTCTTTTTATACAATAAACATATACATATAAATAGTACATGTGTACTTGTAAACATTTTCTTAATATTCCTGTTATATATAGAAATAACATTCAGAAAAATACAAGCTTGGGTTCTAAAATTGTCATTAAGTTAATTCTGAATTGCATATGGGTTTAGATGGAAATTTCTACTTAATTACTATACCTAAAAACCTAGAATGTTCATGCTATAATATTATTGTAGATATTACCATATTTCATCTTTTTTAATTTCATAATTTTTAATATTTTTAATTCTATGGCATCTAACAAAATATATAAATAATTGATTGCTTCCAATAAATGTATGGATAATTATGCCTTTGGTTTACTTTTGAACCAATATTATAATTTAAACTGATTTTTCAATTACTAAATAAAGGTAAAAAAAATAAGCAGCTAAATAAATAAATATTACATTTATCTATCTGATAACTAAATATAACTTACTATAATAAAAAGGTGGACTCTTTGTGTACGGATCTTGTCCTCATGTTAATATCATTTCTGTTATTGTAAATACCACATAATAATACATTTAGAGAAAACATATGCAATTTATCAAGCTATATAGAGATAGAAAGATGGAATGTTGAACTTTCATAGACATGCCCATGATATCCAACTCTTGCTGCTGAAAGTCACCTTCAGTTTTAGAATACTATTGGAATATTACAGCATGTTTTTCATATTTTGCAGAAGTTTTCAATTTTGACTTTTTTTATACAGCCATTGTTTTTCAATTAATTGATTTGTCTAATATATTTTTCAGGTAAACCAGTCATGATTGTTACTGAATATATGGAAAATGGTTCTTTAGATAGCTTTCTCAGGGTAAGTGACTTGTTGATGTCATCCTCTAATTATGCATTATACAAATTCCACTATCTTAAAGAGAGAAATATCTAGATGAACGGAACTTCAATTATTTTTAAACATTATTACTTTTTATGAAAAGAGTGATAAAAATCAATCATTTCCAACAAAGCAATAAAACAAGTCAAATAAGATCTAAGTCTACTGTTTTCTAAGCATTATTCAAGTGTCTTTGCATATATCAGAATCTACACATAGTTGCAGTATCAATAGCAAGAGGACACTTTTAGACATGCATGTTGTTGCACGTGTCATGTTGTTGCACTATCCCAACATGAAGCTCTATTCGCAACTACAGCGTTTAGAAGAATGGTAATTTATACTATAATTATATTTATTTCATGCAGTGTTTGGTCTAATATCAGAACCGTTAAGCTTTTAAACTAAGATTTCACTTTAGATGAAGTTCATATGGCTTGACATAATATATATACTGCTCACAAAAATAAAGGGAACACATCCTATAGGATGTCTCATAGGATGTGTTCCCTTTATTTTTTTGAGCAGTATATATAGCTAGGGTCATAATTTCCATTTCAGTCCTAGAATAAATTTCGATGCAAATATCTGGAAAAAATCTGCATATTTGTTACATACATAGAATGCTCTTAGCTTAACTAGTTACTGAGAACATTTACTTTATGGATTTACACAATATATTGTAGCAAGATGACTATGGTTTACCCAGCAGATAAATCACAAAAAACAAATGAAATCTTATCAATATTAATTATAACTTGTTCTAAAAGTTCAGCTGCTATATCTATAATGGAACTGCTTAAGTTTGCTAACAGCCCTATGGTTTTGCCAGAAAGAATGAAGCTGTATTAGGCTTATAGAAAAATAATATTGAGTCAAAGATCATGTTTAGATGGAATGCTTTATTTTGAATCCATTATATATGCAATCTTAGTTTATCAAATTTCCCATGTATTAATGTAGGAAATTAAAATGAAAAGTTTTCATCAAACTGGGCAAGTCAGAGACATTTGATTTGGGCTAGTAAATGTGTTTTGACTCTGTGTTCATGTTAGAGAGAAAGAGAGAGAGCGCAAGTGAGTGAGAGAGTGATGTCTTATTTGGCAATACGTATCAGATTTATGTTTGCTTTAACTGGTGGATTTCAGCACACTGTTTTCAAAACCAAGCTATACTGACTTGTGTAGATTATTTCTGAGTAGAAGCCTTATGTAAACTGAAGGGCTAAAAGGTTGTTTAAATTGTTTGCAGAAACATGATGCTCAATTCACAGTCATTCAGCTTGTAGGAATGCTTCGAGGAATTGCATCTGGCATGAAATATCTTTCCGATATGGGTTATGTCCATCGTGACCTTGCTGCCCGCAACATACTCATCAACAGTAACTTAGTATGCAAAGTCTCTGATTTTGGCCTCTCCCGCATATTGGAAGATGATCCAGAAGCTGCCTATACAACAAGGGTGAGTTCTGTGATCTAGGAGTTATTGCAACAAAGCAGAGTTATCTGAGTCACAAATAATATGTAGAAGCTGCAGATAAATCTTACTATGTACAGATACTGTGCACATATACAACCATTTTATTCTGACTGAAATTGGTCAGTATAGTGATAGCAAGTACATTGCCCTTTAATTGTTCTGTTGTGTTCAATCACAATGGTAAAGTTTACATAAACCCTGAACTACTCTAAGGCCTTTATTCCTTTTTTCAAATTGTATTCTTCTTTGAAGACCCTTAAAGCAGAATGCACGATTCTTCCCACTCCTTCTGCTCTCAGTTTGTAATCTGTATAGCATCAAACAGTTTTTGAATTCTAGACGGTCAGACCAACCAATCCACAGGGGGGGGGGGAGTAATATGCATGTTTTTAAGGTGACCAACTTTTTTACAATGAAAAGGAGGACACAAATAAATTGAAGAAAAAATATCATAAATAAAAGAAACATTTTATTCATTGCAACAATAATACAGACAACTTGCATGTACAAAGTTTGCCAGCCGGTGTTTTGGCGCGCTCAGCAGCAATTCCTATTGGCTTTCAAAAGCCAATAGCGGGAGTAGCACAGCTCATGCAAAAGTTGAAAAAAACCCCCATCAAAAAAAGGTGCCGGAATGCCGTTCTGAGCGTTCTATGAGGAAAAAAAAAAGCCCTGCAGATTAGTCTTCAAATATCGAAAAGGAGGACATGTAGGAGAATACTTTTCGAGGGAGGACAGAACTCACAAAAGGAGGACTGTCCTCCCTAAAGGAGGACGGTTGGTCACCTTAATGTTTTGACCATATCCACTCAGCATTAAGTCCTCTTAAGTTAAAAAAATTATACTTCAGTACAAGTAGGATTCCACTTTATGTCTTATTATTGCTAATTAATTCTGTACTATTTTTAATATTATTTTCAGTTCCACAGAAGGCAGTTTATAGCCAATATAGTACCAGTACATATATGTTTGTATTTGTCCTATATAACTATAACTGTATTATATACAGACTTTTTCATTAAGAGAAAATAGTCATGTAGGAATATTGTGCCCTTCTAAATAATATAATTTTGCACTTCTTCTTATATACATAGACTAATCCTAATAAACTAGGGCAAGATTGGAAAATATGGTTTAAGAGAATATTTTGTCTGGCACCTTGGGGAAGGGTAAATTTTAAACTATGTTGTATGGATTGTTAGCTTCTTCCGTGTCTAGATAAAACTTTAAACTGCCACAATGAAGCCAACTCCTTGGCTTTGTTGTTGGTAAAGATAGTTATATGAATTGTTATATGAGCTCTCTAGAGTGATTTTATGAAATGAGTGGCCATATAAGTCCTGTAAATAAATAAATAAATAAATAAATATAAAAACAATCAACAATATTGTTATTGCTGTCTGACTTCTATTCAAAATATTGAGTGCACAGATATATGTGTATATGATGGTTTTGCCTTATAGGGAGGCAAAATTCCAATTCGTTGGACATCTCCAGAAGCTATTGCTTATCGCAAATTTACATCAGCAAGTGATGCATGGAGCTATGGTATTGTTCTTTGGGAAGTAATGTCCTATGGAGAGAGACCTTATTGGGAAATGTCTAATCAAGATGTGAGTACAATGAATTATATAGAGAATTATTACACAGAAAAAAAATCAAAGTTTGTTGGAAAAGGCTTATTTTATTGGGGGAGATTTTTTGCTTCTTTTTTAAAAAAAACTTTTTAAACAATTAATGTTTTTTACAAAATAGAAGAAGAAAACAGATTCAAGTAAGACATAAAATGCCAAACTGTTTTAAATTAAAATTTCAGTGATTAGAGTTCCTCATTAAATGTCTCCTGATTTCTTTTAATTGAATTATTCCGTGAGTGTTATAGATCAGATTAAACTGAACTTTACAAAAGGAAAGTAAATATTTGTGTATAAGTTTTTAACAATTAGAACATGTTTTGAAGTACTACATATGTTATGTGAAGTGACTATTTGATTTTCTTAGAACTGTTTCATGTAAACAGTTTAAATAATTATATTTTGCTTTGCAGTTATGCTTCTTTGGAATATAGTATTTTCCAATAAATAAAAATGTCATTTTGTGCACTTGGTTTAACTTTGATTTACTTGACATGATCCAGTTACACAGTACAGTTTATTTTTATGTTATGCATACATCACAAATAAAATTGTTTTGTTCCTAAACTTATATATAATTAAAAACAAATGTATATAGTCATCTTGTTACTTAGCTTATAAATTCTGCCATAATTTTATTTTTTAAATTCTTATTGTACCAAATATCATTACTGTTTTGTGAATTGGCTTTACATTGTGTACATGCACTGAGCTGTACAACATTTGCCAACAAGTGCATTAGTATTGAACACACATATGAAACCTAATTAAATTGGTCTCTAATTACTACTATGTTTGGCTCTGAAAACCTTTTAGCAGCTTTTAATATATTGCCTTATCATAAATATATGTTCAACCTTGTATGTATACAGCTTAATGTCAATGTATTATTTTGTTGCATAATTGAATATGTAGTACAATAATAAAATTATAAATATGATTTAGAAATAATTGCTCCCCCTAAAAGAACTTGGGAAATAGATACCTTTAAAGCTTTTTGCTGTTTTTGGATCATTTTCTGATATTTTTGATTGATTGATTTGAAACCAATAAACCAAACTACAGCTTTACTCAAATCAAAACCTCAGTATATAGAAATGGTAATTATGAAAATTTTGCTAATCATGCGGTTCACAATATTTCCAGACTTAGTTTAATAATATTTATGGACTTCTACAAATATTACATCTTCTCCATCTGAAATTCTGAAATATCAAGGGGCAAACTGCATACATGCATGCATGCAGGCATGTGTGTGTGTGTTTGTGTGTGTGTGTGTTTGTGTGTAATGCTAAGGCATTAGCCAATAATGGATATTTAATAGCTGAATACTGGCCTTTTCATCTGAATCATGATTTACATTTTCATATTTCTATATTAACAAACGTAGTTTAAATAGGATTCTTCCTGCATATTGAGTTTCTATATATGGATTATTGGATCTTATCCAAGGCAAGATTTTTAGATAAATTAAGATTCTGAAATATTTAAATATTAGAAGCAGGATTATTGTGTTTTTGGCTATGTTCTGTTTCAGTCATTGGCTAATCCGGTTAAAGATGAAAAACTGTCCTCCATTTGAAGCCCAAGAGATTCATTGCTAGTCATTGTAAATAATGCTAAACTATGGACTGGTATAAAGCAATTTTGTAAGTTCATATGATCTCAAATAACAATTCCTATAAGACTATTGAAGGAGGTGGGGATGAATATACAGCAGTGATCCAGATGTTTTCTCTTCGGAGTAATTAAGCTAGTACTGTAGGAAATGTATAAATTGAGTCGTATTTGGTCTAATCAAATTTAAACATTGGACAAGATTGAGTGTCACTTTCTTCAAAGATATGTAATTATCCTCTGCTTTTTCCGTCATGTTTTGTATCTCTGTATTGTCAAGTGGCTTATTTTGGAGATGAAAAAGAATAGGCATGATTCACAATAGTTAGGAATAAAATACATCTGTTTAATTACTAAACTTCCACATTGGATTATGTAATGCATATCATTTTCAGAACCGAAGAAGGAAAAGTGAACTGAATGTCCTTCAGCTTCTACAAACTGTCTTCCTTGTGCAGGTAATTAAAGCAGTGGAGGAAGGATACCGTTTGCCACCACCCATGGACTGTCCAGCTGCCTTATATCAGATGATGCTGGACTGTTGGCAAAAAGACAGAAACAACAGACCAAAGTTTGAACAGATTGTCAGCATCTTGGACAAGCTTATCCGTAATCCCAGCAGTTTAAAAATTATCACCAACGCAGCTGCAAGGTGACACAATCTATACATTTATAACTTGCTATATAACTTGAATATGTGGCAAAGGAAATGTTTGCTGTGAAATATTAGTTAGGGAGACAGAATACCTCGTTCAATAGTGCATTCCAGGGCATTCTTTAGGCTTGATTTAAAAATATCAGAACAAGACTTTGCAACTGAGTGGTCATGTTGAATTAGTATTGACACAACATCAGAAGAATTTATCATTATCTCTTATGTCAAGATTGTTACTGTGCGTCAGGGAGTACGTTTGTCTATGTATTTCTCAGCATATAAGCTTAAAAGTACATCATAAATGCTAGTTAAATTTCAGAAGCTGATTAGCCTAGGTGTGCTGAGAAGAGTGGAATTCAAGCAGCATGTGTATATTTGTTGACCTCTAAAATAAAACACAATTCACAATTCACTGCTGAGGCCAAATCCTTCTCAGAAAGAAAAATGTATTTATGTACTTGAAGATTAATTTTGCATAATTCCTTTACTACTTTGAAAATACTTTTGAAGTATTTTTTCAATAGCTCCATGTGCAGCATTAAATAATTTTAAAAATCTTTCTAACTGTAGCAATTGGTTTGATTTTAAACATCAGTGTTGTATTTTGCTCCTCAATATGCATGGTCTTTTAAATTTTGAGTGCAGTGAAAAACCAGAGAACAATCTTTCAAGTTTTATTAGTTGGGGGTTGTATTATTCTATTATTAGAATAGAATAATAACCATAATTTATTTGATTTTTTTGATAGTTCCAAATATCTGAAGTTCTGCATATAAAATTTTGGGGTTTTATTCAGAGAAAGTTCATTTTGAACATTTTCGTTACTGTTTTCTATTTAAAACTTAATATTTTTTTAGATCCTGGTGTATTGCTTTATAATTATAAATATTAAGCCTGATTATAAAACACCAATAATAAAATACAAAAAGCCAATATATTTATTATAATAACTTGCATTCTTTTGAGGTGGGATAGAAGTATAGAACCTGTACATTAGATATCTTCATCCACTCCCAATCCTAGACCCCACAAGCATCAATAAAATTTTACTGTAAGTTTGCCAATAACTAATTGAAATGAGGGAGTAAAATAGGTTTTTTTTTGTTTATATGCTTCCATTATGCATTGGAAAAAGGAAAAAAGTACAATTATGCTGCTTCCTAAAGTGCAGGGGAAAAAAATAGAATAGAAATACAGAGGGGCCTGGTAGCATCTGTCAGAAATAAGCTCCTTATATTAAGGGACTATAGTAATCCTAGTATTGGTATAGTTTCCAGCAATATTCAGTTCCGAAGGCTAGTAAGATTCTGTACTATAGTATCCATTTTTATTAATATTATTATAAAATTATTAATTTACTATAGAAGCTGTTTCTTTTATTTATTTTATTTACTAATATTATTATTTATTTACCATTACTAATCATTAGAAAAGACTCTAATGTTGAGAAAGATTGAAAGCAAAAGAAGAAGGGAAGAGCAGAGGATGAGATGGTTAGATAGTGTTGTTGATGCAATGAATGTGAATTTGTGTAAACTCCAGGAGGAAGCGGAAGCTGGCATGCTATGGTCCATGGGGTCATGAAGAGCCTGACATCTCAGTAGTTGAATAACCATCAACTACCTTAGCCTTATGGCAATGTATAGTACATGATTTATAGTAAAAATCATAAAATTAAGAATATTTCTAACTGAACATTAAACTTCTCAATTTTTAAAAATTTTGCAAAGTGTTCTTTCAAGGCCTTTTTAATGAAGAATTTCTGTTTCTCAACAGTACAGATAATGCATTTGTATCAACAGCACAATTTGAAAGAATCTCTACTAATTATAAATAAGTGCTAGGGAACTATGGCCCTTTCATGACTTGTGGACTTCAACTCCCAGAATTCTGGGAGTTAAAAGTCCACAAATTATAAAGGGGCCATAATTTCGCTCCTCTGTTATAAATGTGATAGTTCCAGTCTGCTCTATGTTCTGCTGGTCAGACTGCACTTAGGTAATTGGTTACCACTATACAAGTAAGATGTTGATTAACTGGAAAAAGTACAAAGATGGTGAGGGTTCTAGAGCCTAAATCCTCTGAAGAATGTTGAAACAAACCAGGTAAAGAAGGTGAGACTAAGACCAGACATAATATCACTCTTGCAATTCTGAAGGGCTATCACAGGAAAGAGAATGTGGATTTATTCTCTACATCACTTACATTTGATCACTTACAATTAGTGGAAACTTTACAGTGGGAAGTCCAAATGTGATAGCAGAAGGATTTTTCTGATTGTGAGAGTTATTAAGCAATAGAGAGTAGCAGCCTGCCTCCTAAAGCCCCAGGGATTCCATTACTGGAGGTGGTTAAGCAAAGGTTACATAGGTAAACAGCCACATGCCTGGAATGGTGTGAGGTTTCTCTTGTGGGGTAGATATTGGATGGAAAACTTACAAGGTCTTTTCTAACCCAATGATTACCACAATGAGCAAGGAGAGAAATATTATAAAATATATTCTTGAGGTAATATGAATCCAAGATAAAAGGGCTTTAGACAGGACTTTATGTGACATAGTTAATAAGCTACTGTGTTCATTAGCTGTAGCAACATGCAGCCTATGAAGCATCTCTGGCAGGATGATCCAGTCTCCTTTTTATGAAGGAGAGGTGGGAATGTCTCTGCAATGTTCTCATTCAGCAAATACCTGTGGAGTGTATGTGAGGATTAGCATGATGAAAGAGCACTTTGCCATTGATTAACTATGCAGACCGCAAAAATGCAAACCACAAGAGATGACTTTTTTGTATATAGTACACAAAATTACAGTTATATTTTAAGCCATGGTTTCAAACAAAAGAAATGTAGGTAGAAGAATAGCTGCATAAAATTAGGGGAAGCATAAGTTGTATCTTTTGAAAGGAAGATGCAACACTGAAAATTCATTGCAAGATTATTGCAGATGATTAACATTTTGCAGTTCAAAATTAGCAATATTAGTAACAGCCCAAGGCATTTGGAGCTATATGGTTTGCCCAGTATGATATATGAATCATCATTAACCTAGATCCAACCTTTCATCTCTCATCAAAGAATACAATGTTGAAAGAAATAATAAAATCTATTCATAGAAAAACATTTTTTCCTGATGAAGTAGGCAAGTGCACAACTTCTTTCATTATTTATCTTAGAGATTCCAGTTCTGAAAGTTGCTAAATTAAAGTATTTCAGTTAACTGAATAAAAAAATAACATAGCTTCCTTATCTCCTCCCCAAAAGGCCATTTTTTTAAAAAAAAAAGTTAAAGTTAGAATGAAAATTCAAAATCAGCAAAATGTGGAAAGCCTAAAGAGCAATTAGTTAGTTATCTCTGTGGATTTAAATAGAATAAATTAAATTTGCTTACTAAATACATAAAAACCAGAGGAAATGAAATCCTGAAGCAGGTTTACTCTGGGGGAGGAAGGGAATTCTCCCCAAAACAATGGCTGCCTAAAGGAGCTCAAAGCTGGCTAGAGTAAGCTCCAGGTTGTCAAAAGGCAACAAAGTATGATCAATTTTAATCGTATTTAACAAGCCAATTCACAGCATGGTTTCTGAAGGAAGCTTGTATCAACAAAAGCTTTCAGTCTTCTCAAAGTTGTGTGGTATGGCTTTCAAAGGGGATTAAATAAAATAATGGAAGATAGACTATCTGTTATGTTCATGTCTGTATGGCGGGTTGGTTAAGTGTTAAAGCACCTAATAATGTCATAAACACAGGTCACAATATATTGAAGACAACATAAAGCAGATTCTCAAGCTAGGCCAATATTTACACACAGAGTTCACTTGAAGGTTGAAATATCTAATAGTGTCCATTATCCAAAGTTGAGGTCCAGGGTTAAGAGTCAGAACTACAACAGTCAGTAGAAATGACAACAAGGTTAAAGTCTGGTGTATAAATATGTCATTTTTAGTGCTAGCTATTCCAAACTATGTATTTATAAAGCCAACCATTAAGTGATTCACAAAAGTCACATTCTCATTACGAGGTCATTACATTTCACTAAATGTTTTCTCACGAGGAGCCTATGCTCTAGTCATTTGTTACATTATTGGGTTTAAAGCTGCATTTGCTTGTGTTCCCTGTGGTTTATATTTATATATATATATATTCTTTTTAATATATATATATTAACCCCAAAATAATATTTCATATATATATATAAAGGATCTTGTTTGTACATCCATCTGTCATCTGCAAATTAGAAAGATATGTGTCCAAAAACCAAACAGAATTGTAATGGCTATGAGTATAACCTTGAAGAAAATGAGGAAGAGGCAATGGTCATATAAGACAAATCTGAATCCAAAGCAAGAATAGAAATTGAGCAAGCATCTGAAACTTTACTGTCCCTAATTCTCTTTAGAATAAAGGCAGGGAGAGAAAAGTGCATTCAGTATGCAAGATTCTGTGAACTATAACCCTATAATGAAAATAATTTCAGTATTCCTCATTTTAGTGTTCAAGTCTGGTCTATTTTGATAGTGTAGTAGCAAAATAAAAATCAGGTTTTAAAATGAATATGATTTAGTTGGGGACTTCATAGATTTTTTTTTTTTTAAAAAAATCTCTAGTTTATCCCATTATAATAGAATGGGATTATTTGAACTCCATTCTGAAAATCAATTTCTGGAAAAGAGGTAAGGATCTGTAGGGGTCCAAAATTAGGGCTAGGATTAGGATTAGATTAAGATTAGGAACTAGAAACCAGGAGACCAGGTTAGAAATCAGGAGTTCTAGTCTTCCTTAGGCATGAAGTTAGCTGGGTTGTTTTGGGCCAATCACTCTCAGCCCATGATGTCATATTTGGGCAACAAGCTGGTTGGTCAATTCCTGTTGCAACTAATGGATCAACACTTGGTTCATCTGGGAAAAATGGACCATTCACTTACTTGTGGAAAAAATACCTTTTTTTCTTGTGATCAAATGATTTGGGAGACAAATATTTGACCTAGGATTTCTCTACCT